AATTTTTGATTGAAAATGGGTTTAAAAGAGGCATTGTAGACACTACACTTTTTACAAAACAAAGCTCACAAGATCTTTTGATTGTGCAAATATATGTGGATGATATCATATTTGGTGCTACTAATGAAAAACTGTGCAAGGACTTTTCCATCATCATGCAAAAAGAATTTGAAATGAGCATGATGGGAGAACTAAATTTCTTCCTTGGACTCCAAGTGATACAAACCCAAGATGGAACATTTATAAATCAAACAAAATACACCAAGGAGTTGCTGAAAAGATTCGGAATGGAGGATTCAAAGCCTGTTGGGACACCTATGTGCATATCTACCAAACTAGACAAAGATGAAGAAGGTACAAAAATTGAGGAGAAGAAATACAGAGGTATGATTGGAAGTTTACTTTATTTAACTGCTAGTAGGCCTGACATCATGTTTGCTGTGTGTTTATGTGCTCTATTTCAATCCTGTCCAAAGGAATCACACTTGAATGCAGTAAAAAAAATCTTGAGATATCTTAAAGGAACCTTAAATTTTGGCTTGTGGTATCCAAAATGTCATGAACTTCCTTTGTGTGGATTCTCTGATGCTGACTTTGGTGGTTGTAAAATAGATAGAAAAAGTACTACTGGTATATGCAACTTTCTTGGAAATTGCTTGGTCTCGTGGTTTAGTAAAAAATAAAATGCTATCTCACTGTCCACTACTGAAGCTGAATATGTTGCTGCTGGTGCTTGCTGTGCTCAATTGTTATGGATGAAAAACACATTGAATGACTTCGGTTTAGTATATGAATGTGTGCCCATGTACTGTGACAACACTAGTGCAATTAATCTAACAAAAAATCCCATTCAACACTCTAGGACTTAGCACATTGATATAAAGCATCATTTCATTCGCGATCTTGTCTCAAAGGGGATAATCCGTGTTGAGTTTGTTTGTTCTAAAGAACAGATCGCTGATATCCTCACAAAAGCTCTTCCGCTAGATCAATTTGTGTCTTTAAGGACTAAATTGGGTGTTTCAGAAAAAATGTTCTGAGTCTTATTTCTGGTCAATCCTTATCGGACGTCCGATGAATTGGAACGGACGTCCGACAGTGTTCTTCATCCAAGGTCCAGAAAATCCATGGCTCGGACGGTTGTGTCGGACGCATCACTTCGTTCGGATGTCCGACACTCAAAAATGTGTCCTATAAGGCAGTTACCCACTCTTCTCAACTCATTTTCCTCCATAAGTCTCGGACGCGACTCTTCAGTTTCTCTAAAATTTGAAATTCAAATTCCTCTCTCCTCAAACCAAGTTTCGAGAAATTGACTCAACCAACTCTATTACACCTCTCTTGCTCATTAACCACTCATAAAAGGCACTCCTAACACCCAACTACCCCAAAATTCCCAATTTACATACGAAACCCTAACCTCATATAACCCTCTCCCTGCGGTATCATAGTGCACTCTTGTTGGCTCTCACTGTTTTTTCCTTCTATACACAACATTCTGCATTAAAAAACATATCCACATTGCATCATGGTGAGAATGAGGGGAGGATCTGCCAGTGCCGGACGGCCTTTTAAGATGAGGGATGAAGACATTGAAATTGTTGATCCACCTCCTGTGGCACCAAAAAGGAAGAAAGTGACTCGTAGTGGCAAAGTGAAGGAGACTGCCCAAAGAAAATTAGTTACTCCAACTCCTGAATCATCTGATGAACAAATGGAAGAGCAGATCTCTGAAAGGAACATTGCTGGTGGAAATGAGGAACCAGAGCAGGCTACCCAAGGTGATGAAACTGTCACAAGGTCCTCTAGTAAAAGAAAAAGGACTGCAAAGGGGAAGAGAACTCCCCAATCCAAGAAAAAGCAATCTGCTGATCCCTCTGCTGATCAGCAGAATGAAGAAAACATTACTGAGAGTCAGCCAACACCTGAACCCTCCATCAAGAAGTCTCCAAGGACAAGGACTGAGGCTCAGAATGTTGGTGCATCTGTCACTCAAACCTCTAAAGGGACACGTTCTGGGAAGAATCCAGTATCTCAGCCTGCGCCTGAACCCATTCCTCTACCAAAGTTCATCGATGATGAAGCCAGAGACAGATTTGAATTAGTCTCTCAAAAAGAGTTCATCACCCAAAGGCTCATCATTCCTTTTGAATTTCGTAAGCTTGATCTTGAACCTGTCATCAAACTCTTTGAATTCCAGAAATGGACTCATCTTTTGACCATTCCTAATGTTTTCTATCCTGATATGCTGTATCAATTTTTTGCTAATCTTAGAAAGGGTACATCACACACTGAACTCATCTCTAGGGTCAACTCTGTAGACATCATGTTAACTCCTGACATTGTGAATTCTATTCTGAAAACTAGTATTGAACAAGGTTTTAAGGGAAAAATTGCAAATTTCTTTTCATATGAGGAATTCCCTTCTGCCTATCAACATTTTTATAATGCAAAACTCATGACTTATTTTCAAACCAAATTCAACACTTCTGCTGAGGCTAGATTGGATGATCTCAGTCCTCAGAATCTGATCATCTTCACCATCATTTCGAATCTGTTGGTGCCAACTGATGGCCACAGAACAGATGCAAACAAAATGGAACTATATCTTTTCTACTGTTTTGTTGAAAAAATCCGCATTGACTTTGGATTTGTAATGTGCAAATTTCTGCTCAAAATCAGCACTGATAGTCGTAGGAAGCTTTCCTATAGAAGATTTCTGACCCCCATTTTTGCTTATTTTGACATACCCTTTTCTGGCAAATATCCAAAAGACAGTGCTTCTTCAGTTTTCTCCAAAGCTTATTTTGAAAGAAAGAACCTAAAATTTTTTGATGGTCACTGGTGCTACAAGGAGACTGTGGCCGAGTCTAGAAGAAAAAATTTGCATGAAACCCCTGCCACTCCTAGAACTCCCCATGATCAGTCAGGGTATGTTTCTCCTTTCACCATTCATCCCAGAAAATCTGCTAGTAAGTCCTTCTCTTCCAACTCTGAGGTCATCTCCTTGCTTGAAAACCTCAAACAGCATGTTATGCTTCTTGAAGATGGTCTCATGATGACAATGACCTCTGCCCAACAACCTCCTTCCTTGAAAAAGAAATCTTCTTGTGCCTCCTATACCTGAGACAAATGAGACTGCTCATCAGAAAGAACCAAGATCTGAGCCCACAAGGCCAACTCCTGGTAATGAGACCACACCAGCTTTCAGTTCTCAGCCCAAGGATAAAGGCAAGGCTCCAGTAACTGAGGAAGTATTTGAAGATGATGATGAAGAAACTGAGGAAGAAGAGGACCCTGAACAGTATCGTCTGACCAGAAGGAGGCCTGGATCATCTAAGATCACCATCTAGGTACTACTAAGTCACTGCACCTAAACCTAGGACTACAGTTCATCTTTTGCATTGCACTTTTGTACTAAGCGTTGAACACCTGGTCTGTACAACTGGATATTTTCTCCTATTTATGAATGTTTTAACTAAGTGTTTGTTATGAATGCTTTGAATGGATGGTATGATTGGTTATATGAATGAATGTTTCTGTTTAATGCATTTTCTACTATCTATCTGTTCAATGAATGAATGGTTCAATCTTGTGATGACAAAAAGGGGGAGAATTGGAATTGGATTTGGTTTAACACTGATAGTATAGAGTATCTAGTTAGGGGGAGACAGTCTCAGGGGGAGTTGAGCTGGATCAGCACTGATGATGTGGATTGCGGTTCTTCTTATATACTACTCATGCACTTCGATAGGGGGAGCTGTTATATTTTGTGATCATGCACTTCGTTAGGGGGAGTTGTTATATTTTGTGCTATATCCAATTGTTTTGTCATCACCAAAAAGGGGGAGATTGTTTATCTCAATTCATATCTTTTGATGATTACAAAACAATTGGATGTTTCTAACACCTTTTGTAGAGATCCCTTTCAGAAATAAACCAAACATGTTTGTGGATTTAAAGCAGAAAAAAAAGATAAAAAAGGAATGAAGTCTGCTGAGGATGTTGTCGGACGCACAAAAGGAGAGTATCGGACGTCCGACATTCTTTGAGTATCTTCGGACGAGTAAAGAACTCAGACTCGGACGTCCGAAGAAGACAAGCCAGGAGTTACTCGATTACTGATCAAGTTCGGACGCTCAACACCTGTGTATCGGACGTCCGACAAACGTTGCTGCTCTTTGGACGCAACACTCTGGACGCATCGGCCGTCCGAAGGAATTGAAGAAGAAAGTCCAAGTATTCATCCTACCCTCGGACGCATAAAAACCAAGCATCGAACGTCCGACACCACCAACGGCTAGTTGACTCTTCAGCTGCCTTTCACCCGTTGACAGCATTAATTGAGGAACTATCTGGTCTCCTATAAAAGGAACAAAGTCAACCACCTCAAGGCAACTTTGTACATCAAGCCTACATCAGATTGTGAGTGATTCGTGTGCTAGAATACTCAAAAGGAACATTTGTACTCCTTGCTTGTGCAATCTTCGTGCAGTTTTTTCAAGTGTGACATAGTTTCTTCAATAGTGTAGCATAGTGAGGGTTTGCGAGTGCTTGTAAAACTTCCTTGCTTGACCAAGTGTGGTTTGGGGCAAGAAGGAAGTGATCCCTTCCTTGTACACAAAAGATTGGTTGCAAGTCTATTCAACTTGAAGTAACTTGGTATATAAAAGTAGTGTTCAAACCTCAGTTGTGTTTGAAGCTTGGTTTGTTTCTCTATTCTCATTTACTACTTTTCTACATAAACTGTTCTTCTCTCCATCTCACGAATACCTGTGCTCTTGTGTTATATTGTTCATTGGGAGGTATTTGAGAAAAGAAAGGCTATCTGTGAAAAAAGTTAGAATATATCTTAGCAGGTTTTTGAAAGCCTAATTCACCCCCCTCTTAGGTTGTCTTCGATCCTTACAGATCTTCAAAATAATGACTGGTTGAAACGATTATTCGGAATAAAGGAGAAGTGGGCATTAGTATATGGGCACCAATATTTTTGTGCAGACATGACTACAACTCAAAGAAGTGAGAGTATGAACAGTGTTCTCAAAAGGTATGTGAATTATAAACACAATTTTCTTGAGTCTTTTAATCATTTTCAGAGGCTACTTGAAGATCGCCGTTATGAAGAGTTAAAAGCTGATTTTAGGGCAAATATAAGCTTTTTAGCATTACAGTATCCTTGTGAGCTCTTGAAACATGCAGCGAATATGTACACGCCTAAAGCTTTCAAGTGCTTTCAAACTGAATGGTGCAAGTCTTTAGATGCTAAATTTCATGATTGTGGTGAAGTTGAATCTGTGAGAAAGTATGAGATTACCCTTTTTAAAAAAGTTACTATCATACTGTTTTTCATGACTTGTTAAATGACAAGTTTGATTGCAGTTGTAGAAATTTTCAATTTACTGGAATTTTTTGTTCTCATATTTTGAAAGTTTTTATGATGAGAAATATTGTCAAGATTCCAAGTGAATACATATTAAAGAGATGGACACGCAAAGGAAAAACTGGATTTTTTGGAGATGAAGATTCTACTGTTGACACCAACAATTTAGATCCTAAATTGGTCTCAAGCATGCGGTATAGAGAATTGTGCAGGATATATGTTCAATTAGCTACACGAGCAGCGGAAACAGAGGAAACATACAAAATTGCAAAAGATAGTCTTCTTAAGATGCTTGAAGAGGTGGATGCAAAATTACAGGGTGAAGTAGCCTCTCAAAAATCAAATGAAACTACTAATCGCATGAGCCAATCCGGGAAAGCAGTTGGTGAAGGAAGTGGTAATAAAATCAAAGGGATCAAAGCTAAGGCAAAAACTACTTCTGGTAAAAGGTTGAGAAGTAGTTTAGAAAAGGTTTCAAATAAGAGAAAATCAACAAATAAAAGTCGAGGTGGAGCAAAAGTTACAACCTCAGGACCACCATTATCATCAACACAGGTATAATTCTTTACCTAAAGTTTCCAATCTATTATCTATATATTATGCATTGATTATATTGATGTTGTTGTAAATTTATTTTTTCCCTAATTTTTATTGGTAGGCTGATTCAAGTCAATCAATGAATGTTGAAAATTTTAAAAAGGATGCACAACATTCAATCAGTATGACTAGGTTACTGGAGGTATTTTGGCTTCTTAGCCAAAGAATTTTTCATAGTTTATGGCCATATTTACTAACATTTATCTAATGCAATATTCTATTTATCATTATTCATTTTGGTTATAGGAACAACAAGCACGTAGCGTTGAAAGTTTAGTAAAGAACAACTTAGGGGAACATAACAATGTGATTAGCTTTGCAAGTGTAAGTGATGGCCGTGTTACTGAAACAACCGTTGTTGGTGTTAGATGCAATAACTACAGTGGCAGTCAAATTCCACGTCAAGGTGGCAACAATGTTCAGGATCTTTAAAGAGATAACTTTTCATTTCAAGTTGGAACTTCAAGAACCATTATTCTAGTTATCTATTTTTTATAGTTATGGGAAAAGGTTACAAGAATTTACTTTATTCTATACGAGTGGTGCAAAACGCAAAAGCATAGCAGATCACAAATGTTTAATAATATTTCCGGCTTGACACTAATTTGATTTCCACTTTCTTCATCTGATCTCCCAGATTTACTGATAGCTTGAGCAACGCTATTAGGTGGGCATGAGGATGTTATGACATCAATCAAATGACCCAAGTGCTTCTCATAGAAGATGTCGATGATAGACTCTCTCTGCAACATCATAAAAAATGCTCAAACAGGATAAACAATTCAAAGACAATGCAATCAATTCATAGCACCTTCTACTTCCCCCGGTTTATCAGTGATCACAAAAATCACTGTATGTGAAAAGGAAATATATAATTCCATAAAACCAAAAATAAAAAAAAATAAAAAAAATGGCTAAGCATATAATCTTCTAGGCATTGACATCTGAAACAACAATCATCGTGAACCAAATTGCAGCACATATATTTGTTTACCACCGCAATCCGTATGCCTTATAAAATGTGTGTATGTAGGTAGGGTGGTGTTTTTTTTCTCTGGGAAAGGGGGGGTGGTAAGAAAAGAAAACAGCTATTACATCTTAAAATAGCAGAGGTCTCCATGATGTTTAAAGGTTTTCAATTTTTATCTGTCACATGGTTTTTCATTCAATTAGCAACTTTGTCAACCAAGCCAATGAAATATGTTAGTTTTTAACCATATTTCCCCAAGAGATGGATTATAAATTAAATGAACACTGTATCAATGAAGACATAATCCTACTTAAAAAACAAAAAGAGGAATCAATTTACCAGAATAAAAAATAGATTGCAAAAGGTACAAGAAACACTTTTTCTATCTGAAAATGTTAAAACACAATTTGTTTTCCTTCAAAGAAAGCGAGAAGAACAATTTGTTTTCCTTCACCAATTTTTTAGATTATTCTTTCCGTTAGGCCCAGCTGCAAATTTTGCTTTGTACTTCCAAGGATTTGATTGTCTCTCTATATGTCTCAAATTTTGCTATGTCTTTCCGTTAGGCTAGTGGTTTGCTTTGGAGGAATTCACGGTGAATGGTTACAATTTGACAGGGCTGTTGCTTGGTGCTTGAGCCAAACAGGCATTTATTTTTATGTGCCACGTCAGCCACAAGAATAAGTGGAACTACGTAGTTTTGTGTTGGACAGGAAATTGGATACAGAAATTTGGACAGAGGATCCCGTCTGTACAAGTAATGCCTCCATTTCTTCAATGCAAAAACTGCCGTGGCTAATTTCAAATCACGAGTCGGATAATTCTACTTACAGGGCTTCAATTTTTGAGAGGCATATGCGGTAATCTTTTTATCCTGCATTAATAGACACCCTAATCCTTCCTTTGAAGCATTCGTATATACCGTGAAATTGTCTTTACCATTCGGTAGTGCTAACACTGGGGCAGTAGTTAAGCGCTTCTTCAATTCCTAAAAATTAGCTTTACATTTGTTATTCCAAACAAACCTAACTTGCTTCTAGATTGAATTGATCAAAGGTCTAGCAATCTTTAAATGATCTTTAATAAACTAATGGCAATATCCTGCCAGACACAGAAAACTATGGATCTAAGTGGGGTTCTCTGGCCGTTTCCAATTAACAACGACTTCAACTTTAACCAAATCTATAGTAATTACTTCATTTGAGATGATATGCCCCAAAAACGATACTTTCTTCAAGCAGAATTCACACTTACTAAATTTGGCATACAACTGGTACTCTCTTAAAATTTGTAACACTATCCTTAGTGCTATTCATGATCTTCTAGGGCTTTTGGAGAATACCTGTGATGACCCCACCTCTCTTTAGGGTGCACCTTAAGGTATCAGCGATCCATCTGCCCAACTCTCGCCAGGACTCATTAGCAAATATCAAATTATCAAACTTACATGTCTAAACTCACCACAATATACACTAAATACAACTAATACATAAAGTTGTCTGCCGAAGAACTTAAAGTACAAAATATAGTTTAAGCTCACAAATAACATTCAAAATAATATAGTACTCTAATCACTTAGTCTAACTAAAACAAAAGCTAAGTGCTAATCTCCGAATCACGAACCAATCCTGCTAAGGAACACAAAAAGAAAGGCATGAACTTGCGCCCAGTGAGGTCTAAGAAAGACATGCAATCTAAGAAAACAATTATTTCATATTTTCAAGTCAGCGGGAAACATAAACAAGAAGTAACATGTCGCGCCCCATTTTTGGAAAAAGGAAAAAAAGTTGTTTGAAATCATGATGCATAGTATGCATGAAATATGTAAAGTGTGTGAATGTGAGAAATAAAGGGAAAGGCCATGGGACTTTTAAATGCGACGATTTGGCCAAAACGATAATCTAAAAAGGTTTTTAAACAGAAAAGTAGGAGTCGCCACTTAGTATCGAGTTGGGGTGTACAAAGTCACCCAAAATAGTTTTTGAAAACATGAAAGTAAAAAAAAACCTTTTTAAATAACTCTTAGTCTACGAAAACCAAAGAGACGAATTCGGGGGTCACGGTTGATAAAAGGGAAGGCAAAGACGAAGTCTAAAGCACCCTTTTACTCCAACCTAAGCTAGTTGTGTGATTTAGTGACAATTTTTCTAATTTTTACCCAAAAGATGTATTATATTTTGGATGTGTCTAACATGAATGCAAACCTAAATCTAATGAGTGGTTCGAATGGGACAAAATGTCTCTTTTGAGGCTCAATTGGTCCTAATCACATGAATTGTGATAGCCAATAGTGAACCCTCAAAGAGGTCACGAATAAATGCAAATGAATGCTTGAGTAATAATGAGAAAAATGAGAGTGTACGAAAAATGTCTTTGAGTATAAAACTAGTGCCAGGTGCAAGTGTGCAAATGGGTGTGTAAAGTGCAAGGGTGCCAATGAGTGTCTAAAAGTGCGCGTGTACAAATGAGGGAGTGCAAAGTAAAGTGAGAGTGTGTGAAATGATAATGGGTAAAGTGGTAATGTGTATAAAGTGAGAGAGTGTGTGAAGTGATAGTGGGTGGAAAAATGATAGAGTGGATTAGAACGCATGAGTCTAAAGGAATGCAAGCATATCGGGTACAGGGAGACCCTAAATTGTGACTTTTGATTTGCCTTTTGGTTAGAAAGAAACAAGCGTGCTAAGGCTATGTGTAGCCATACTCATATGTTTCCCTTACCAGAAGGGTGACTCCCTAACCTAATCAAGCAGATGACCCTAATAACTAGAATGAAATGCAAAATTCTAAAAATCGTGTTTCAAATGTGGGAAAGGGAGTGAAGGGTCATGCAACAATTTAAAACTAAAAAGGAAAAATGAATGAAGATGTAGTGAAGGAATGCAAGTATGTACTAGCAAGGGACGGTCTTATTGGATCTAGCATTGGACTAGCCCTTCACTAATGCTCTCACAAGCATTGGATTTGTGAGCTCGAGGGGAAGACCATGACTAGCATTGGACTAGCTACGGTAACGTGCATTCCATCCGGATAATCAAATATAATACTAAAAAGCAAATAGACATGCAAAACACATAGTTTCACATAGCACGTAGCACATAAGCATGCATATCTATATGCAAAAGTCTAGGGAAAGCAATTAAACACATAGGCATATAGGCACACGCAAATACATAGCACATAAGCCCTATTTATTGCACTTGGGGAACCCTACTACAATCTAAGGGGGAAAAGAATAAATAAATAAAATAATAACCTAGCTATTACAACTTTGGCATTAAATTGCCTTTCAAATGATCAAAATTGAACTAAAATAAATATACCAAACTAAAGCCAATAAAGCAAACAAATAAATAAATGAAATAAATAAAAAAAACATTCAAGAGGCATACAATCAAACAGTAAAGTCACATAGGGCACGTAGAGTCAAATAAAGTAAGAAATAAGGGATAAGGTGTACCTCCCTTGAATTAGGACCCTAATGAAGTGAAATTACTTATTTACCCTCCAAAAACAAAGAAAGGGGTCAAGGCATCAATTTAATTAACAAATAATCATAAAAGATGAAAATAAACATGAAATTGAATCAATTAGGTTATGCAAACAATCTACATTCAAGAAATTAAAACAAGTGAGGACTTAAATGCAAGAATTAACAAAGTTTTGGGGGTCCAATTACCAGTATCACAAAGATTTGGGGTCAAAAATTAAAGAAAAATCAAGTTTAAGGACTCATTTGCAATTAAAGTAAGGATGCAATTGAAAGAAATTGAAAGTTTGTAGGGCCATAATGAAAACATCTGAAAGTTAGGGGGCTGGAATTAAATTACGTCATCAGGCTTCTTGATTTAATAGGCCATTGGGCCCTTTCTTATTTGTTTGGGCTAAAAACCCTCCTAACCCAACCGAAATTCTAGCAAAACAGACGGGCTAGTCCATCTACTGGTCCAAACAAAACCCAACTAAAAACAAATGAGCTCTATCCCTCAAGCCCATGTCAACAACCCAGAAAATAATTCATCAACCCTTTTGTCAAACCCAACCAATAATCCCAAACCAAACCTCATCTTATTTTTGTGGAAAAAAAACCCACCAAGATAAAAACCCAACTAAAAATTACCAAGCTCTGGTTATGCATTAAATCCCAGAATTAATCTATCCAAAAATTCACATAAAATATGCAAACAGAGGATTAGACTTAAAGGGTGAAATTAGTTCGATTTTTCCAGATTTTGGGCCACAGTGAAATTAGGCAAAAATTAAGAGGTTAAATTGCAATATCTTTTAGAAATTTATTCATTCATGAATCGCAGGAGCTTTCTGATGCAACTGAAAGGGAAAAGTTTCTGCAACTTCTGATGCTTCAAAATTCCAGTGACTTTATACGGCAAAAACGCACTAAATCATCGCAAGATGTGACAACGAAAATGGAAGAAATCAACTTCGAAAATCATGGTTTCTCTTT